ATTTAATTGAAAGAGATATAACAGTATTTTACACCACCTACACATTTTTTTTTTTAATCTAAACATATCCTACCCCTTATCCTATATAACAAACATAACATTAGTCCAATCCCAACATTACAATCCTTTTCCATTTGACTAAATTAGTCCTATCTCATCCGGAAAAGCAAACAGGGGCATTACGGAGCATCAAAGGTGCCCCAACATATTCCACAACACTTCAAACAGAACCAAATATCATATAATGCCCAAGATATAGATAAATCATCATTCCAGCGTGAAGAATACACCTGGAACCATGCATCAACACAACACCCCAAATACACCCTACATCTACAAACCCTTTTGAAAATTTAAACAACACACAAACATAATTTTCCTTTTTCTCCTTCTTTTTCTTTTAAATGAAAAAAAAAAAATTAAAAAAAATGATGATGATGACGATGAATCGATGATGACTCATAGCTCCTCCTCCTCCTCCGCCTCCTTCCTGTGCAGCTCCCTCATAGTAGTCCTCCACTTGAAGAAAGTCCCAAACAACGCCTCCATGTCCTCCAGCGTCCTTCCTCTCGTCTCCGGCAGTAGCGTGAAGTAAAAGACCCACGTCACAGCCGCAATCCCGCTGAAGAGGAAGAAAGTCCCTCCTATCGTGATCGTCTTGTAGAGCGATATAAACGACATGAGAAGCACCCCGCTCGTGGCGCGGTTTAGCGCCACCCCAACCCCACACCCTTGAGCCCTCAACCTCAACGGGAAAATCTCCGAGCTGTAGACCCACGCGATCGGACCCATCCCCATCGAGAAAAAGGCAACCGACGAGTAAGTCATCAGTACGCAAACAATCACGACCCAACCGAGGTTTTCTGTTCCGTAGCGCTCGATGGCAGTGAGGCCTACGCCGAGCGTTAGCATCGAGAGGGTGAGTCCCCCGCAGCTGGTGAGGAGGAGGACACGGCGGCCGATTCGGTCGACCATGAAGGTGGTGACGAGGATGAAGATGGTCTTGCAGACGCCGACGGCTATGGTGGCGAGGAGCTGCTTGTCGTCGCTCGTGATGCCGGCCTTCGCGTAGATTCGAGGGCTGTACATGACGACTGCGTCGATTCCGCTCGCCTGCTGGAAGAATTGGAGGCCGAGGGCACAGATGGTGATGTGGAGGACGGGACGTGTGGGGGTGATGAAGAGCTCGCGCCACACCCCCTGGCCACTGTCGCTGCCGTGGCGTTGGAGGACGGGGACGAAGTCGTCCGATTCTTGGGATATGCCGGCGGCTTCTTTGATGTCGGAGAGGCGGAGGTTGGCCTCCTCGTCGGAGTCGGAAGTGCGCTCGAGGACGCGTCGGGCCTCAGCCAGACGGCCCTGCATCACTAGCCAGCGTGGGGACTCGGGCATTACTAACACGGCGAAACCGATGAAGATAGCGGGGATGGCGCCCACGCCGAGCATCAGGCGCCAGCCCAGCTGGAGGGAGCACTTGGCGAACACGTAGTTTGAGAGGTAACCGAGTAGGACTCCTGTATCACCACATTTAAAAAAAAAAAAAAAAATTATCACGTGGAAAAAATGTAGAATAAAGCTGCTGCATATGAAATGAAGTTAAAATGAGTGAGTTGATGATTCTGGTTTTCATATTAAACAATTGACTCCAATTCATTTGATTAGTGCCAAAAGAAACCCGTCATTCAGTTGCTTGGATACAAATTTATCTATAATAATACAAATTTGTGACGTCAGCACTTATCCAAAAGTCGAACACACGCAGCAAGGAATATGATATGTATATATTAATAGATATTTAAAAAAAAAATAAAAAAATATTAATAGATATTTATATATACACACATGTGTGTACCATCTAAAAGCAATCGTTTTTGGGCCACAAATTAAAGACACGCAGACACCATGAAGCAAAAGTAGAAGAAATCAAGTCCACGTCACATACATAAATTATTGGGCCTGGGCCCATGAGGACTGTAAGGTAACAGTGACCAATAAGCTATCGACAGCAAACTGTGCTATGGTCGGTCCACAGTAATTGGGCAGCACAAACACATGATGAAACGTAAATAGCAATTAATTATATTGCACAGTTTTGATAAGTAGAAAAATCGAATTTGAACTCTCTCATACTCCCCAAATTCATCCATTTATTTTTTTTTTAATATCTTTTTAATAGAAAAATAGGCATAAAACAAAGACAGGTTGTCTGAGATTCTCAACTAAAATGGAACTTATTAAATCTTTAAATTTATTTAAATATATAAATATTTCGAAAAATCATTTTAGCCTCATAAGAATCAAGATTAAGAAAGATTTGGATAAAATAGAGAACAATTTGTATATTAACTTCTAAATTAATTATCACAGTTCAGCAATTGACATGGTGACCCAGCGGTTTAACCGATGACCCGGAGACCTGACCGGGTCGATTTCCGGGCTAACATCAGTCCTAATCACATAATAATATACAATTCAAGAAAAAATACATCAGTGCACGTTAGGATCTCAACCATTATCTTTCTTCATTCAGAAACAAAGAGGTCATGACTTTGTGTAATGAATTAGAATATCAATAAATAAATTTCATACAGCAAAGTGGATAAATAATCTAAGGCTTTATGCAATCTCCTGTTTGGATATAATGATTCCTAATCAGGCCGGTTTTCCCAGTTATGGATCTAATAAGTCTGGTCTGATATGTACTAAATCAGATCAGATTTAAGTCTATTTTATTAAAAATAGATTTAATATAATACTATTTTAGACTATCTCTTATTAATACTATTTTAGACTATATCATTTCGAATAAACAATAATGAAAACATAAAATAGAAAATAAAAAAAAAAAAA